CAAAAACACAAGGTTTCGCAACACGGATTTTCAACAAAAGCGTGCGCGCGCGTTCTTGCGTCGTCGTCGTCGTCGCCTTCATCCCTCCTCCCTCGTCGTCGTCGTCGCCGTCGTCGTCCTCTGTCTTTCCTCGTCGTCGTCTTCGTCTTGGCGTCGTCGTCGTTTCCGTAGTCGTTGTAGCCGTGATCGTCCTTCCTCCCTCGTCGTCTTCGTCGGCGTCTCGTCGTTGTTCCTCCTATTTCGTCGCCGTCGTCGTCGTCTTCGTCGTCTTTCCTCCTCCCTCGTCGTTGTCGTCGCCGTCGTCGTCCTCCCTCCTCCCTCGTCGGCGTCGTCGTCTTCGTTGGCGACGTCGTCGTCGTCGTTGTCGTCGTCTTCGTCGTCGCCGTCGTCGACGTCGGCGGCGTCGGCGTCGGCGTCGTCGTCGTCGGTGGCGTCGTCGTCGTCGGCGGCGTTGACATCGTCGTCGTAGTCGTCGTCGTCGGTGCTGTCGTCGTTGTCGTTGTCGTCGTCTTCGAAGTCGTTGGAGACGTCGGTGTCGTCGTAGTCGTTGTCGGCGGCGTCGTCGTCGTCGTTGTCGCTGTCGTCGTCGGCGTCGGTGTCGTTGCCAAGTGCCATGTGGTACCCATCGTCACGGTCTTAAGAGGTCTTGCGACCAAGTTGCGGGTGGGAGGGTGGGATGTTTGCACGAGCAGTGGAGAGGACAGTTTCAAATTGAGCAAGTGAACTGCACCACATAGATGGCACCACATATATTTCAGAACATCGGTTACGCCACATCGATTGCTAGAAACGTTTGGTTGGAACCCACGCTGACTAACATTATATAATAGAGTGCAGAGAGAGTTGAGAGGGCATGTCTAGGAAACAGGGCTGAGAGAGAGAGAGAGTGGATGAGAGAGTGGCATAAAGCTGGCCGGGGTGAAATACCAGAGACACGTTCAGGAAATTTGCCGAGTCACGTTCTCTTCTGTGTCGCCTTCATATGTGTATCTCCATACGCATTTGCATTGCGCACAGACATACACATGCATATATGCATTAAGCGGCTTGCACATATCCCGAAGTAACTACTGGATTGCGGAGTTGCTACTTGGGTTGTCAAGGAGTTCCTTCGCATGGCAGGATGACGGCTGGTCGCGGCTAGCCAAAACCAGGCCTGAGCTTTGGCGTGTCAGGATTGCGATGTGCCACGTGTTGTCCCTACCAGCCGCTTCGAGCCCAGACGAGACCATTTCCCTGAGGTGGCGGCCTCTGCCTGGCCACGATTTGCCCCGACCAGCAGATTGCCCTGGCGTGGCCGACTTTCGGCTCACCGCGACTAGCCCTGGTTAGTCCGTTGCGCTGGTGTGGCGGGTTCGCGACTGGCCGTGGCTAGGCCCCACTAGCCACGTCCAGCCTCGACGAGCCGTTTGAACGGGAATGGCCGAGTCCGGTCGGACACGATTCATCCCGATTATTTCGATGTGTTTCGGCGAGGCTTTGCTGTGATGTTGCGGGAGGTTCGCCTGGCCGCGATTGGCCCTGAGCTGGCCTTGGCCACGGTGTGCCCGTATTTTGGCTGGCCCCGATTGACCCCGACTGGTTTCGGCCAGCCCGTGCATTTGTGATTTCAGATGGCCGCTGCTGGCCCAGGCTTGCCCATGGCCGTGATACGGCTGCATATCCGAAGGTTGCGACCAGCCCCGAGGTGCCCCGACGCCTCGGCCGGTATAATACTATACCTATACGACCACCCTTCGGGTGATAAGGAGGCGAGGGGTGGGGGGGGGCAACGTCGCACTCGATCGATCTCACTATCGAACTCACTACCGATCTCACAATCGACCCTGACCGATCGATCTCACAATCGATCTGACTATCGATTTCCAATCGATCTCACAATCGATCTCACAATCGATCTCACATTCGGTCTCGCTATTGATCTCACAATCGATATCACAATCAATCTCACAATCGATCTCACATTCGATATGGCTATCGATCTCACCATCAAACTCACTACAAATGTAATTATCGATCTCACATTCGGTCTCACTACCGAAATCACAATCGATCTCGCAATCGACGTCGTCATCATCATCATCATCATCATCATCATCATCATCATCAACATCAACATCAACATCAACATCATCATCATCATCATCATCATCATCATCATCATCGCCATCATCAACATCATCAGTATCACCATCATCATCATCATCATCATCATCACCATCATCATCAGAATCATCATCATAATCATCATCAACATCATCATCGGGACACAGACGGTACACAACCGGGACACCGGCGGGACACCGGCGGGACACCGCGGGGCCCCGGCCGCCCGGAAGGGAATCATTTGGTCCGGCCGCGCCTCAGCCACACGGGACACCAGCGGGACACCGGCGGGACACCGCGGGGTCCCGGCCGCCCGCAAGGGAATCATTTGGTCCGGCCGCGCCTCAGCCACAGGAGACTTTCTCTCGCCCGCCCACGCAGCTTCGCCTCGCCCGCACGGCACGCACGAACACGAAACCGAAATCGATTTCCCGGTAGGGGGTCTCTCCGTTCCATTTCGATCTCACCCCCTCACCTCCGATATCCGCTGTTTCTGCACCAGCCCCAGCCGAATGTCCCAGCTCCGCTTCCTGCGGTGCCTTTATGGTAATCATGGCATCGTATGGTTTCCGACCCTTTAACGTTCGAGGTCTACGCGCCGTTACCATTGAACGTCGACGGACACTCGTCCTCATCCTTCTCCTTCTCCGATCCTCCCCAGGAGCAGGAGGAGGGATCGAGAGGAAAAATAAGAGCAGGGCGAAGAGAGAATTGACAAGCACCGCGCAAACACTGATGGACAACATAATTGTTTCCACTAGCTCCACCTTCAGCGCGTGGCGGCTCTAAGTATGTGTGTGCCCTCGGCTGATCGCACATGCACGAATTATGTGTGCATGGCCGATTCCTGCTGTGAGAGGTTTCGTAGGTCGTTTGGGCTTCGGGGGGGGATAGGAGTGCAGGTAGCACCCCGCTCTATCTTACAGATCACAGTGCATGCCATTACGCCGGCCACATTGTGTTGAGAGGTGACGATCGTGTTCGTGCTCTGTCTCTCGCCTCTTGGTCTCCCCTCTCCAAAATACTGCCTTGGTAAGTTCTGCTACTTGTGCAACCTGGCGATGTGCGCATACATGTCTAAGTACGTGTGTACATATATATATATATATCCATAAGGGCTTCGCCCCATGCCGCCGGGACCTGTTTGTTTTTCGACCTTGGCCCTACGGATCTGCGTGAGGGGTGCCACCGGATTTCAGAAATGTACCAAATCCCTTCTGTTTTTTTGACCCTGACCCAATGGATTTGCGTGAGGGGTGCCGCCGAATTTCAGACATGTGGCAAATCCCCTGTGTGTTTGGACCCTGACCCTGTCGATCCGCGTGAGGGGTGCCACCGTATTTCAGAAATGTTGAGAATCCCGTAGGTTTTCCGACCCTGACCCTGCCGATCTGTGTAAGGGGTTCCATCGAATTTCGGAAATGTAGCAAATCCCATATGTTCTTGGACCCTGAGCCCGCCGATCTGCGTGAGGGGTGCCACCGAATTTCAGAAATGTAGCAGATCCCTTGTGCTTTTGGACCCTGGCACCGCCGATCTGTGTGAGGGGTGCCAGCGAATTTCAGAAATGTAACAAATCCGATGTGTTTTTGCACCCTGACCCCCGCGATCTGCGTGAGGGGTGCCATCGAATTTCAGAAATGTAGCAAATCCCATATGTGTTTGGACCCTGACCCCGCCGATCTGCGTGAGGGGTGCCAGCCAATTTTAGAAATGTAGCACATCCCTTGTGTTTCTGGACCCTGACACCGCCGATCTGCGTGAGGGGTGCCAACAAATCAGACATGTAGCAGATCCCGTGTGTTTTTGGACCCTGACCCCGCCGATCTGCGTGAGGGGTGCCACCGAATTTCAGAAATGTGGCAAATCCCATATGCGTTTGGACCCTGACCCCGCTGATCTGCGTGTGGGGTGTAGATGTTCACCCACCCCAGCAAGTCAGAGCACACGCTCAGGGCGTACTAAACCTACCCGTTTGGGCCTCCCCCCTCGCGCGGTCCATCAACAAGGAACAGTCAGCAGCAAGAAGCAGAACTGTAACAGTGGAAATTGGAAGCTGCAACTGGCACAGGAAACTGCGCACCTTCTGCCTACAGCCTGGTGGCCCCACAAGGGGGGCGGCGGATATATATATATATATATATATATATATATATATATATATATATATGTATATAAATATGTGTGTATATAAATGTATATATATGTATATGTATATGTATATGTATAAATACACGTATATACATCTATACATATATACATATATATATACATACGTACATACATGCATGCATACATACAAGCATATATACAAACATACATACATGCATGCATGTATACCTACATACACAAATATACATATACACATATACATATATATATATATACGCATACATATACATATACATATACATATACATGCACATATATATGTGTATATATATGTATATAGATATACACACGCATGGCAATATAATTATTCATGCCAGTGGCATAACCACTGGCATACATACGATGGCCAAGAGGTGGTCAGTTTGACTTGGTTGTTCCCACAGCGGCCCCCAGCATCTCTTCCAAGGTCTTCCTGAGCTGGGCATTCGACCCCCTTCCGTGGTCCTGGCCAGTGGCGCTCCTGCCAGGGGTGACACAGAAATTGCTGGCAGCTGTCGCGAGAGAGGCGCGAGGTCGCCTCGGAACGCGGCAGGTGTGATGTGAGACCGACCGCGCATATGATGTTCTGGTGTGCTGGTGCTGACTGGCACTCGACTGCGCTTGTCGGCGTCAGTATTCAGAAGCGGGCCTCTGGCATGCTGGTCCGTCGTGTGATGGCGCATGTCCGTTGCAGGCTGCGCCCTCCAGCTCCGTTCAGACTCGGCCGAGATGGATCTCCTAAGGTCGGCTGTCCTCTCCTTCGTGGCCGGCCTGGGCGACCGGCATCATGAGAATTTCATGGTCACGAAGGCCACGGAATTTATCCTGAAGGGGTGTGGGCCTCCCGTGTGCGCATCCCCCCCGAGAGCTTGGAGAGATCCGCGCCCATCTCGCCACTGCCTTCGCCCCGCTGTGGGGAAGCCTGTGCTCCTCCCCCCCTCCTCCCGTCTCCTCCGACCAGTGCGGGTGGGGCGCGCGGCGGACTGGACAGACAGCATAAACCCCCACACCCTCATGCTAAAGTCGACCGGCCTCCACCGCGCCCATGTCCACCCACCCCTCACACGATTCATGGCACCATAATAGAGAGCTCCACCGAGGGCCCCAGTAGCTGCGCTCGCATGGCACCACCGCGCCCATTTCGCCACACCCCATCACACGCTTCGTGGCCCCATAAGGACCTCCACCGAGGGCACCAATGGGAGCGCCTGCATGGTGGCACCACCGCGCCGATTTCGGCACACCCCTCACGCGCTTCGTGGCACCATAGGGAGCTCCACCGAGGGCCCAATGGCTGCGCTCGCATGGAACTACCGCACCGATTTTGGAAACACCACACGTTTCCACCGAAAACTCCAGTAGCAGCGCCCGCATGGCACCACCGCACCCGTTTCGGAGCATCCCTCACACGCCTCTTCGGGGCCTCCTGGATGCTTCTTGGGGGTCTCTTGGGGGCACCTCGGGGGTCTCTTGGGTGCTTCTAAGGGCATGAAGGGAAAGGCTCTAGATGTCAGTTCGTATTGCCCCTCTTGGGCCTTTCTTGGTGCCATCGTGGGCCGTCTTAGGTGCCCCTGGGGCCGTCTTCGGGCCCCCTTGGGCTCTCTTGGAGCTATATTGGACCGTCTTCGGGCCCTCTTGGGGGCCTCATGAGCCGCCTTGGGACGATCTTGAGGGACCCATGGGCCGCCATGGACGCTGTCAAGACTATAAAGGCGAGCATGCAGAAAATGCATGCTTTACTTACGCTTCGTGGCCCTCTCGGGCATCCTCTGGGAGCACTCTCTCGCCATCCTGGGGGCTTCGCCGGCCGTCTTGAAGCCATCTTGGACCGCCGCGGGAGTACCCTGGGCAGTCTCGCCGCTCTCTTGGACTGACTCGGCGCTCTCCCTGGACCCTCTTGAGCCGTTGGGCGGCTCTTCTGGAGGCTCCGGAGAGACCCCTGGCGTGCGCTGAGGAGCTCGTCCCCCCTTCCCCCCCTCCCCTAGAATGGATTGAGACTCCCCTTGGGGAGGGGGGGGGGAAGAGCTCCTCCTCCTCCTCCTCCTCCTCCTCCTTCTCCTCCTCCTGGGGAGGGGCGGGGAAGAGGGAGGGGGACAGCCAAATGTCTCACACGCCTTTTCACCCCCGGCAGGCGGAGGCCGGCAGATCTATTACACCCGACCCTAGTCGACCATCTACCATCTACCCTCAAGTCGTGCGTGTACCTCACCTCAACACGAGGAATATTCACAAATAGCCAAAACAAAGATTGTGGGGATGACTTTTCTATTCTTGTTTGATTATGTTTGAGCATATGTCGAGTACTTTTTATTTGTCGTCAAAAATCCGCCTGTAGCGGGACATGCCCGACCTATGTCTGCCCTCCTCCATTCTGATCTACCCTAACCGACTCTGCTTTGCTTCATAAATATTATGTTCTACACTACTCTGTTCTGATCTTATGAGCACATATATATATATGTGTCTCTCTACTCTGCTCTACTCTACTCTACGTCTGAGTTTGACGATTGTTGTGTTGGGGCGCCATCGGAACGACCACAGGAAGTCATGATAATAGCAGAGGAAACCGTGCGGATATCGAGGGAGCCATGCGGATGGCAGAGGAAGCCATTCGGATACAGAGGAAGCCATGCGCATAGCAGAGGAAACCATGCGGATATAGAAGAAGCCATGCGGATAGCGTTGATTTACGGGACACCACTGGGATGGCAACAGGGAGCCATTGGAATAGCAGAGAAAACCATGCGGATACGGAGGATGCAAGGAGGGCAGCAGAGGAAGCCATACGGATATAGAGAAAGCCATGCAGATAACCTGACAACTTGCAAGGGCAACATAATAGGGGGAACAGTGGGCCAGGTCTCAACAGCTTGAGCTAGAACTCCTATAAGGCAGGCCTCCTCGGAGAAAACAATACACGGAAAGGGCGGGACACGTCCAGGACGTACAGCCGGGGCGTTGAAGAAAGAACCCCTCTCGTTGGGGAGGGGCTCGGTTGTTCCTTGGTTGTTGTACGGTTTGCCTCAGGTATTCCTGAGGCCTTCCATGGAAAATCGAAGCTTAACTTATGGCAAAAAGAGGCCTCGTTCCTTACAGTCAACCTGCATGGTAAGGATGGGCCACCGTCCCAAGACTTCCCTTGCATCCTCGCCTCCTCGGTCCATCCTTGGCCGCTTTCGCTGGCCGCGCCCCGCTCGCAAAGTGTCGAAACGGCCTCCCAAGGCCCTTGCATCCTTATCGGCATCCTCGTGGTATGGGCCGACTGTACCCAGGGCTCCTTGCGTCAAGGCCCCGACTGCAGCCAAGAGCCCGGGGAGAGAGAGAGGAGAGCCGCACCGGCCCGCGGCAGCGGGCACCCTGGCCGCGGAGAGGGCGCCGAGGGCAGCCCCCTGGCCGCGGCGGCGAGCGCTTCCTCTCGAAGCCCACGGCCCCGGCAGGGAGGCGGGGGCACGAGCCTTGGCACCGCTCGGACGTGTGCATCTTGGATCATCTGGCAAACAGCCAAAAAAACCTGACGAAGGACCCAATCATATGCTGCTGCGAGTACCGCGAGGGAGAGGAGACGAAGTAGGGGGGGCAGCAGAAAGGACTGCGGCGTGCATGAGGAGGAGAAAAGCTGACGTGGGCGAGCGGAGCGTCTGCTTGGTTTCGCCCGAGTCCCGTGCGCGGCCCGTGCCATGCGGACGCTCCCTCTGGGGCCTTCGGTGGAGCTCCCTCTGGGGCCACGAACCGTGTGAGGAGTACGTCGAAATGGGGCAGCGGTGCCATGCAGACGCTCCCGCTGGGGCCTTTGGTGGAGCTCCGTATGGGCCCACGAACCGTGTGAGGGGTGTGCCGAGATGGGGCGGCGGTGCCATCCGGACGCTCCCGCTGGAGCCTTCCGCGGAGTTCCCTATGGAGCCACGAACCGTGTGAGGGGTGTGCCGACATGGGGCAGCGGTGCCATGCGGACGCTCCCGCTGGAGTCTTCTGTGGAGTCGCCCATGGGGCCACGAACCGTGTGAAGGGTGTGCCAAAATGGGGCGGCGGTGCCATGCGGACGCTCCCGCTGGGACTTTCAGTGGAGCTCCCTATGGGGCCATGAACCGTGTGAGGGGCGTACCCGACTGGGTGCGCTGGTGCCATGCGGACGCTCCCGCTGGGGCCTTGGGTGGAGCTCCCTCTGGGGCCACGAACTGTGTGAGGGGTGTGCCGAGATGGGGCGGCGGTGCCATGCGGACGCTCCCGCTGGAGCCTTCTGTGGAGCTGCCTATGCATTGGCAGCTCCACAGAACCGCGGAAAGGGTGTTCCACAATGGGGCGGCGGTGCGTCGTTCTGGGGAGTTTTCCCAGCGGGGGCGGGGGGGCACCGCACCGCGTTTTCCACCCAGCGCCGTTTTCGCGGGCACCTTCTTCACGGGTGTGCCGCTGGGGCTGCTACTGATCAGTTTTCAACGTTGCCGCTTGATGCGGTAAACTAACACGCGGCACCGCATATGTTTCCATATGTTGAGTAGCCATTTCTTTTAGTGGGTCTACTCCAGAGCTAGGGTGTCCCACCAACCAGTGTGTGGGGGGGGCGGCGGTAACGCATGCAACCGCTGCCACTTTGGCCTTCGGTGGAGCTCCCTGTGGTGCCACGACCCGTGTGAGGGGAGCGGCGCTGACGATGGCGATGGTGATGATCATGATGATGTGGATCGTGACGATGGCGATGATGATGACGATGAGGACGATGACGATGACGATGACGATGACGAGGCCGATGGGAGGAGGAAGGAGGGGGAGGGGACGAGGGAGGGGGCAGCGGGAGGAGGAGGTGAGACGCGGGGCGCTGTCTCTTCGAAACGAGGACCCAACACCACAGGATGGTTTGGGGGAGAAACAAAAAAACGTGGAATGGACGTCCGAGCGATGGCAAGGAGCCGGAGGAGACTGGCGGATCGGGGCCCGGTTCCGCCAGCGCGAGCTGCCAGGACGGGCGCCTGCTCAACGTGGACTACGGCTACGCGCTCGGCCAGGAGCCCCTGGACTCGGTGCTGATCCACTACGCCTTCCAGTGGGGCAGGTCCCTTCTCTCCCTCTCCCTCTCCCGCTCTCTCTCCTCTCTCCATCTCTCTCTCTCTCTCTCTCTCTTTCTCTTTCCCAGCCAGCATGCAGGAGAGGGGTCCTGAGGGGTCCTGATGTTGTTTGCCGCTCTGGACCGTCCGGGGCCCTTCCAGGGCCCTGGGGAGCGCCACGAAAGAGCTCGGGCAGGACACAACATCGCAGTGCTGAGGAAAGCTCAAGGGTCCCGGACCAGTTGCTCTCAGAACCCCTTTTTTCCTTTATGGCAATATCTTTCTCCCTCTCTCTCTCTCTCTCTCTCTCTCTCTCTTTGTCTCACTCTCTCTCTCTCTCTCTCTCACTCTCTCTCTCTCACTCTCTCTGTCTAAATGTATACCCCTCTCTTACGATTTATATGTTTGTGTATATGTATAGGTATATATGTATAACAGTGTGGACCCCAAACAGTGCGTCTCTAACAATGCCTACTCCTATTATATATTGTTATAGGGCCGGGGACCCCAGAAAGAGCGCACCCCTCCTGACTTCCCCAAAAAAAGAATGTCGAATCCTAGGGCCTGTCTTGCGCCTTGAGTTTTCTCTGATGTTCGACTCTCCGGGCCCTCTTGGGCCAGCCGTAGGCCTCTTTGGGGCGCGTCTGGGGACTCATTTGGAGCCGTCCTGGGGCTATCTCGACGTCTCAAGAGCCGATCGTAAGCGAACAGGCGAGAAGGCCAAATACATAGATTTCCCAATGGGTTGTCATTGATTTTCAACTCTCAGGGCATTCTTTGGCCAGCCTTGGGCCTCTTTGGGGCTCGTCTGGGGACTCAGTTGGAGCCGTCCTGGGGCTATCTTGACGCCTCAAGAGCCGATCGTAAGCGAAAAAGCGAGAAGGCCAAATACATTGATTTCCCCATGGATTCTCATTGAATTTCAATTATTTGGGCCTTATTCGGCCACCCTTGGGCCTCTGTGGGCCTCGGCTTGCGCCTCTCTGGAGCCATCCTGGGGCTATCTTGACGCCCCCCGAGCCGACCGGAAGCGAAAAGGCGAGAAGACCGAAAACATTGTTTTTGATATATTTGTTTTGAATTGACTTTCGAACTTCCGGGCCGTCTAGGGCCAGTCTGTGCCCTCTTTGGGACTCGTCTGGGGACTCATTTGGAGCCGTCCTGGGCCTATCTTGATGCCTCAAGAGCCAATCGGAAGCGACAAGGCGAGAAAACCAAAAACATTGATTCTCCAATGGATTATCGCGGATTTTCAATTCTTTGGGCCCTTTTCGGCCAGCCTTGGGCCTCTGTGGGCCTCGGCTTACGCCTCTCTGAGGCCATCCTGGGGTCATCTTTGGGGCGGTTGTTCGCTGTCTTGGAGGCTTCTTGAGGCTATGTGATGTTTTCCCGAGGCGCTCTGAAGCCGAAACAACCTGGAATCCCAAAACAAGTCAGTTTCCCCATTGGTGGTCTATTTTGTGTTTTGCCGTTTCGGGTTTCGCCGGAGGTCTCCTTGGGCGCCGCTTGGATGTTTGGTGGGGCACCTTCGGGCATATAGGGGGGATCTTCGAGTATGTGAAAGCTCGTTGGGCTGGCTTGGGATGGTCCTGGTGCGTCTTGCAGCCGTTTTGGAGCGATCTATGACTGGTTCTGGCCGATTGGGAGCGGCCTTCGCCGTTTTAGAGCCGTCTAGAGACCGCTGAGAGCTCCAGAAAGCAAAACCAGAGAGGGGGAGAGTTTTCGGAGGTTGCGCGCGAGTTAAGCTGCGGGCAGCCCTAGAAAACATTGTAAAATAGCATACCAAACAACAGACAAACATTCTAACACGTTGGAGCCGCCTCCTCCATCCCTCTCCTCCTACCGTTTCCTTTCCTCCTGCTAGTGTTCTTCATGTTCTTTAATTGTTACTCTCAGTAGTGGGCGTATCATTCCTCTTCCCGTTATTACCCCCTTAGTATTGTGGTTGATGTTCTTTATCATGTTGTCTTTAGTCTCCACAGCAGCGTTTGCACTTAGAGTTTCTTGTTTCTTGTCTAAGGAACTGGGCCTGCGGGCCAGTCTGGCGGCTATGTTGTCGCTGTCGCCGCCCCGTCGCGGCCTCGTCGCCGCCCGTCGTGTGGGCTTGCGGGTTGGTCTGGCGGCTATGTTGTCGCCGTCGCCGCCTAGTTGCCGCCTGTCTTCTGGGCCTGCTGGCCGATCTGGCGGCTATGCTGTCGCCGTCGCGGCCTCGTCGCTGCTTTGTCGCCACCCATCGTCTGGGCCTGTGCGTCGGTCTGGCGACTATGTTGTCGCCGTCGCCGCGTCGCTGTGCTCCACATTGATTGCTAGACAGAGTGCACAGGACATTTTGCACCACATAGAATGCACCACATACATTGCACCACATAGATTGCACAACAGATAGTGCACCACAGATTGCACAGCGTAGATTTCTCCACCTACATATTGCAACACATAAATTACACAACATAGACTTGACCAAATAGATTGCACAACATAGATTCTTCCACAGCGGTTAGCACCACATATAGTGCTAGAAACACACTGCTTGGGGTCCGTTACCGCTAATATAGTATCTTTTGTAGCTCCCCAAACAGTGCTTGCACTTAGTGGTTCTTAGTTGTCTTCTCCAGAACTGGGCCTGCGTGCCGCTCTGGCCGCCATGTGGCCGCCGCCGCCGCCTCGTTGCCGCCCGTCGCCGCCTATCGCTCGGGCCTGCCGGCCGCTCTGGCTGCCATGTGGCCGTTTTCGCCGCCTCGTCGCCGCCCATCGCCTCGTCGCCGCCCGTTTTGCATTGCTTCGCTTTGCTTTGCATTGCTTTGGATTGTTTGGCATTGCGCTGCATTGCACTGGTTCGCATTGATGTGCATTGATTTGCGTTGCTATGCCATGCTTGGCATTGGTTTGCATTGCTTTGCATTGCGTTGTGTTGCCACTGCGTTGCATTGGTTTGCACTACGTTGCATTGTTCTGCATTGCGTCGCATTGCTTCACATTGCTTTGCAGTGTCTTGCATAGGTTTGCATTGGTTTGCATTGCTGTGCACTGTTGTGCTTCGCTTGGCTTTGCTGTGCATTGCTTGTCATTGCGTCACACCGCATGATGTTGTTTTGCATTGCACTGCGTTTCCGTTATGTGCATGTCGTTGCATTGATTTGTATGGTGTTGCATGGCATGCCATTGTGTCGCATTGCCCTGTATTGCGTTGCAGTGCTTTGCATAATGTTTGCGTTGCGTTGTATTGACGTACAGTGCGTTGCACTGCTATTCATTGCGTTGCATTTCTACGCAGTGTGATGCAATGCGTTGCATTGCTTTGCATTGCTACGCAATGCTTTGTATGGCCTTGCATTTCTGTGCATTGTGTTCCCTTTATTTGCATTGCGTTGCATCGCCTGGTCTTGATTGACACCGCATCGATTGCGCCATATGGATCCCGCCACCTGGATTGCACCACATTCATTGCACCACCTAGAATTGCACCGCAGCGACTGCAAGACATCATTGTCTGGGTCCACGCTGGCTACCGTATTACGCTTCTTCGACATGCATTTCTGCTTTGACATGCTCGCCCCCTCTCCTTCTCCTCCCCGCCCCCCCCCCTCTCCTCCTACCCCTCATCCTCCTCGTGCTTCCCAATCCTCCTCACTTATCCCACTCCTGCTCCGCCGCCACCTCCTCCTCCTTGTCCTCGGCCAGCGGCTGCTAGGCGAGGAGGAGACGGAGGAGGTTCGAAGAGGCTTCTGCAATGTTTAGCCTCTGTAGTTCAGGTTCGAGCCCCTGGACCGTCGAAATCTGCCAGGGATGAAAAGCGGTTGGCGTGGACCCTGGGAGGGATCCACGGACCGATGTTGAGTGAGTTTGGGTCTCGAGAGGAGAAGCAGGAGATCCTTACTCCAATGTCTTGAAGATCACGGCGGCGGTTTTTCATAAGCTCCGTCCTCTGGGGGGGGGCCAGTCCTGGGCTCCGAGGCCATCAAAACACGCTATCCAGAACGAAGGCGCGGTCCCCAGCAAGGGGCTAAGAGACTTACAGAACACTGCGTTGAGCAGACACACGATTTCGGAGGTCTGGGGAGGACGTCCGTGGAGGAGGAAGAAGAGGAGCAGATAGAGGAGGAGGCGGAGGAGGAGGAAGGACGGGTCATGAGGCGGAGAAGGAAGCGAAAGACGGTGGGCAGCGCATGTTGCGATCTTGTTTCGATCAGCAGCGACCGAAGGGAGGAGGATTGGGGGCCGTAGCAGTCGTGGCCCAGGGAGCCCGCTGTAATTGCGAGCTGAACGAGCTGCACTGTACTGCAGGATCCGTTACAGGCAATCGATGCCTCATGGATGATGATGCCGTTCGTTTTGCTGAGGCTGCCGCCATTGAGGAGTTCATCATTACTGAAGTCCAGGAGGACACTGACGATGAGCCTAGCTGTGGAGGGCGCCTGGAGTGTGATGTATGTTGCCGTCCGCAGAGCGTGTGTCTTTGTCCGTTGCTTCCTGCGGATGCACCATTCACCATAAGTACCCGGGTCGTAATTCTGCAGCACCCAAAGGAAGCGCGGCGCGCATGCGGCACGGTGCCACTGCTTCAGCTGTGTATCAAGAATTTGCCCGTGATCGTTGATTGCCGCATGGCGTCGCCTGAAGAATGCCCAGAACTTCGTGATCCCCTTGGCGTTGGCGTTGTTTCTGGTGATCCCAACGATTGCAGCCACAGCCCGCCTGGAGGCCACCGATGTGTGTTGGTCTGCCCAGGAAGAGGTGCCGTACCACTGGCGCGGCTTAGAGAGGATCTTGACACGCGGCCTCTAACACTAATCTTCGTGGATGGGAGGTGGTCGCAAGTGCAAATGATGCTCGACCGTTCGCCTTGGCTCAGGCAGCTTCCGCGCGCGATCCTGGCCCCATCGAGACCAAGTGCCTACGCCTTCCGGAAGGAGCCTAGCCCCTCTTGCGTGTCCACGCTAGAAGCAGTGGCCGAGACTCTGGAGGTGTTGGAGGGCGAGCGGTCGCATGGTGTCGTGACGTGCCTACG